GGGGTTTCCATCTATATCAGACTTAGAGCGGCAAGTTCTTGGGCTATGTTTACCTTCACGACAACGAGGGCAAACAGTAGCAGGAGCATTTGGCCGTGTTTGTTGAGCCGGCTTGGCCACTTTTAAGTTTTTAACAGTGCAATTTTTTTGAGTATGACCAAGTTCACCACAATTAAAGCAGGCTCCAAGAAAAGAATCAGTCGAGCCAGTTTGATTGCCATCCTTCATGGCCCGTGCCCACAGAATAGCTTTGTGAGTCGCTAATCCAAAGCCTTCACAAGCTTTAATATATGCAGGCAACACCTCATAATCAGGTAAATTTTGTCGTTGGATGGAACACATGGCCATTTTACTCATGGTTCGCATTATCAAAAGCTAACATATGAAGGAGAATACCTTGAGTGTGCTCATCAGAGACAGAATTTTGAACAGCATCTTGTAATTTAGCCAAAAAATCAGATTATAATTCATTGTGACCCTGTTTAACAGTAGTAAAAGAAACAGGAACTTGGCCTGGGGCACATAATTTATCCAAAGCTCTCACTCATACATACCTTTTTTTACTTGTTCCCTGGTGAGAGCATCAAAGCCTAATTGGGTAGTAGTGTCAGAGCGATGATCAGAGCCTGTGAGCTGAGCCTGAGTAATTAGAATGCCATCAGCCCGATTTAGCTGAGCCTGCAGACGGGCCTCCTCTGACCACCAGGTACAGAATTGTAAATGCTGAGATGAAGTTAGAACAGCTTTTGCCAAAAGGTCCCAGTCTAAAGGAAGCAAAATGACCTCAGTACAAAGAGTGTGTAAATTCATTTTAACATATGGAGAAGTAGGATCATGCTGAGTACAAGCATCCTTGAATTCTTTTAAAAAGGTAAAATTAAGCAGCACATATCAATGCACTTATACCCCTTGAGCATTAGGAGGTTCCAGCGTGACTGGATAATCCCACACCTCTAATCCACTTGTTTCTTGTTTTGGCATAATGAGCATTGCATGGAAGTTTCAACAACAGGCACATGAGACGGAGTCAGCATAGAAGTGACAGGAAAAGTATGTGTAGATAAGGGAAACTGAGGTTGAGGAGGTCAGACCAGTATGAGAGCATGAGAAAGGGGCATTGGGGGAGCAGAAGAGGCAGAAGTATACTGCTGATTATTGTCCCAATCCTGTGCAGCCAGAGTGGCAGGGCATCCATGCGTGAAGAAGGGTACAGAGAAGAAGGTTGAATGGGTGGCAAAGTGACCGGTTGAGGGACTGAAATGACAGGAGGGTGAGGGGCTGAGGTAGATGGGGGAGGGCCTGCAGAATTACAGGTAAATTGTAGTTTGGTCCCAGAGCCATTAGATGGCTCTGGAGGCAAAGACTGCAAAGGTTTAGAGAGGGAAGAGTTAGCATAGATATCGTCCCGGGCTGTCCGAGTTGGGGCCGCGGTAGCTACAAGTACCAGCTCTTCATGAAAAGAAATAAGATCATCAGGGGGTGATATTAAGCCAGAGTCACCAGAGTTAGATATTGAATTCTTAACATTGTCAGGTGGGGGAGGCGTAGACGAAGGGAGAGGCTGAGCAGATAACGAAGGCCAAATGGGACAGGAAAGCTGAAGAAGAGATAGTGGGTCACCAGATTCAGAAAATTGTGGTAACTGCAGGGGGTCACGGGATTGGTATGTCATTAGGACAGCACGTACCAAGGCCCAATCACCCCAGTGATGGGAACATTATTTCCTGTCGGGACCAGTTTCCAGAATTTTGTACCAACACAATCCCATAGTTCCAGGAAACCAAGGACAGTGTTCCTTCACTGCCCTGAATAGGGTGACCATATTTTCCATGGGCACTCGCACTCCCCCCGTTTTAACAGGAGTTTAATATAGCAGAGATAAGCATAATGTTTAGACAGCACGTGACCCAAAGTTACCCCAGACAATACACAGACAATTCACCAATCGTCAGGGAGCTGAACAAGCATTTCTGTGAACTGGACCGATGAATGTTTCTCCACACCTACCAAAGGGAATTGGGTTCCCACATGCTTAGGAAAAAGAAAACCATGTTGGCATGCCAGATATCGGGGGAACCCGCCCCCAATATTTCAACGTAGTTTCTTTCTATTTCCCATAAGTGTTGGCTGGCTGAGAAATAAAGAGAGACTGTATAAAGAGAAGAATTTTACAGCTGGGCCACCGGGGGTGACCACATATTGGTAGGACCGTGATGCCCACCTGAGCTGCAAAACCAGCAAGTTTTTATTAAGAGTTTCAGGCCGGGCCCAGTGGCTCACGCTTGTAATCCCAGCACTTTGGGAGGCTGAGGTGGACAGATTACGAGGTCAGGAGATCGAGACATGGTGAAACCCAGTCTCTACTAAAAATACAAAAAATTAGCCAGGCGTGGTGGAGGGCGCCTGTAGTCCCAGCTACTCGGGAGGCTGAGGCAGGAGAATGACGTGAACCTGGGAGGCGGAGCTTGCAGTGAGCCAAGATCACGCCACTGCATTCCAGCCTGGGCGACAGAGCCAGACTCCGTCTCAAAAAAAAAAAAAAAGGGTTTCAAAAGGGGAGGGGCTGTAAGAACAGGGAGTAGGTACTAAGATCACATGCTTCAAAGAGCAAAAAGCAGAACTGCTGATAAGGATCTATGTTCAGCAGTGCACGTATTGTCTTGATAAACATCTTAAACAACAGAAAACACGGTTTGAGAGCAGAGAATCCATCTGGCCACAAATTTACCAAGGTGTGGTTTGTCCCCATCCTAATAAGCCTGAGGGTACTGCAGGAGACCAGGGCATATCTCAGTCCTTATCTCAACCACGTAGGACAGACATTCCCACAGCAGCCATTTATAGACCTCCCCCAAGGAACACATTCCTTTCCCAGGGTATTAATGTTAATATTCCTTGCTAGGAAAAGAATTTAGTGATGTCTCTCCTACTTGCACGTTGTTTATAGGCTCTCTGCAAGAAGAAAAATATGGCTCTTTTTGCCTGACCCTGCAGGCAGTCAGACCTTATGATTGTCTTCCCTTGTTCCCTAAAAATCGCTGTTATTCTGTTCTTTTTCAGGGTGCACTGATTTCATATTGTTCAAACATACATGTTTTATAATTAATTTGTACAGTTAACACAATTGTTACAGTGGTCCTGAGGTGATGTACATCCTCAACTTACAAAGATAACAGAATTAAGAGATTACAGGCATAAGAAATTACAGAAGTATTATTTGGGAACTGATAAATGTTCATATTAAAATGAAATCTTCACAATTTATGTTCCTCTGCCGCAGCTCCAGCTGGTCCCTCCATTCGGGGACCCTGACTTCCCGCAACAGAAAAAGAACTTGTTTCACTTTATTATGATCACTATACAAGCTACTAATTCTCCCCACAGCTGTCCAGACTTGGCCTTTCTGCAACATGCTGTTTACAAATGTGTACACTGATTCACCATCCTCTCTGTGGATAAATGTATGAGTCCTCCTAGGATCTGCCCGTTTGTGCATTAGCTGACAATTATTAGGTTGATGCAAAAGTAATTGCTGTTTTTGCCATTATTTTAATGGCAAATTAATACTTGGCCTGCAGAGTGCACAAACTAGATCTTAATCCAAAATATCTTTTGAGACATTCTCTTAAAAAAAAAAAAAGGCAAAAATTGGCCAAAGGCAAACAAACAAAGATAACAACAACAACAACAAAACCCAATGGTATGATCCTAAACTTAAGTTGACCCAAAATCAGTGCCCCAAATTGAACTCATCACCCCTTTCCTCAAATTTGCTGTCATCTCTGTCTGACATGTGGCAGCGTGATCTTGCCAGCTACCAAAACTAGAAAGCAAAGATGTCGGATGTGTCTCCTCCCCATTCTTCCTCATCTACTCACCAAGTCTTACTGATTTTACCTCCTAAACATTTTTTCTACTAGTGCCACAATTCAAGTTTGTGTCATCTATTACCTGAATCACTGTAACTGCCTCTCAGTTTTTTTCTTCCTCCAGTGTTGACCCCTAAAATCCAGCCTCCATACATCAGCCAGAATAATCAATATGACACATAAACCTGACTCTATAATTTAATCAGTGGTTCCCCATTCACTTTTTGATAAATCTTAATATGTATGACATGTGGGATCTTAATCTGAACTTCTGCTGGCCTTGAACTTTATGATCCATCCAACAACAATGATCCTACTAGTGGTTTCCACATGACCAGTCTCCTCTCTGTCATTGCCCACACCCTGCCTGATGTGTCCTTTCACCCTGAGGAAAGTAAGTGAAAGGGCATGGCAAATCACTGCTAGAATTGTATTGTGTGCCCCTCTGTGTTCCCATAACTCCCTGTATCGAACTCTGCTGTGATACTCATCACAATGTATTAGGTTGAAACTGCCAATATTGAATCCTTTCTTATCAAAACAATAACAGTATTATGTGGTCCCACTTAACTATGATACTTATGTTTCTTTCTACTACCCCAAGGGGAACTCCTCGGGGTCAGGACTCTACCTCATTCATTTTTGTGTCAAAGTTTTTCTAAGCTCAGTGAATATGACTTTCACATTAAAATGCTAAAAGAACGAATGGTTTAATGAACTGTAGTTAACTCATTATTTATTTTGCAGCCAGTAAACCGACATCCATGAATAGTTTTTAATGACATGGAAAAAAGCTTAATCTTATATTTTTTAAAAAACCTGATATGGAACACACAGAGATACCGACATTCACAAAGTATTTAAAGTTCATAAATGTAAAAACTAGTATTTTAAGATTTTTATCTTCTTTTACGAAGCTTGCTTTAAATTCAGTTCCAAATAAAAGAAGCTAGTCAAAATACTAAAAGCAAAATGTGCCTGTATACCTGCCAAAAATGTGTTGTTACAATCTTCCCAATTCAAATGGAAAGAATCTCACTACTTTTTAAAAATTATTTTAAATTATTTTCAGCTGTCGATACAATATATTCATATCAATTATTACCTTGCCCTCTTTGTTGCTTTTTCTAGCATGGACTGGAGGAAACAGCTGCCAAATGCAAGGGACTGGGTGCCAAGGTTTATACCTTTGTGGTAGACTGCAGCAACCGAGAAGATATTTACAGCTCTGCAAAGAAGGTGAAATGTTGTGTTTAGTTAGAATCATATCATGTTAGAGCTAGGAGGTGTTTTGGAAATGATCCAGTCTGTATATGATATAGCTGAAGTAACTGAGAAATGTTATTTGACCAAGGTTATAGAATTAGCTCATAGCAAACCCAAAACTAGAACTGAGAGCTGAAGTTCTCAAATATTAGTATGTTCTGGAATTTTCCAGGGAGTTGTTAAAAAAATATACACTCTTGGGCTCCACTTCCAGAGGTTTTCTTTCAGTAGTTTGAGGGCAGGGCCTCAAATGCACCCTATTATCCACCCTGCATCCCATGCACCTTCACCTCACCCATGATTCTCATATAGGTAACTATCCTTGGATGACACTTGCAGAATCGCTGACAGGATCTTTTGAAGCCCATTCATAGAATTGAGTTAGAAAGTTACAATAAAGCTATTCTTTATCAGTTTTTTAGTGTAGATAGATCTATTTCTTTTCTTTTCTCTTCTTTTTTTTTTTTTTTTTGAGATGGGGGTCTCACTTTGTCACCCAGGTTGGAGGGCAGTGGCATGATCTCGTTTCATTGCAACCTCCACCTCCCAGAATCAAGCAATCCTCCCACCTCAGCCTCCCAAGTAGCGGGGACCACGGGTGTGTGCCACCACGCCCAGCTAATATTTTGTATTTTTGGTAGAAAACGGAGGTTCACCATGTTGCCTAGGCTGATCTCGAACTCCTGAGCTCAGGGGATCCACCCACCACAGCCTCCCAAAGTGCTGGGATTATAGGCATGAGCCACGCTCCCAGCAGATCTATTTCTATAAAGCATTATTTGCCTCTTCTAGATACAATTGAGAGGTGCTATGTATAATGGGGTTTCACTCTGAACGCATTCTCACTTGTACTTGTTAACTAAATACCTTAATGGGAGCAAGGTCATCAGAATTACCTGGGCTGATTCTTTAAAATACACATTCCTGGACCTTACCCCTGGATATTCTAATTCAGTGCAGTACAAAGAGTCTGATTCAGCCAGACGTGAGAACCTCTTTGTTTATGGAATTTTAGATTTGAGTTCTTTTTTTTTTGAAATGGAGTCTCGCTCTGTCGCCCAGGCTGGAGTGCGGTGGCGTGATCCCAGCTCACTTCAAGCTCCGCCTCGCGGGTTCACAAGAAATTCTCCTGTCTCAGCCTCCCGAGTAGCTGTGATTACAGGCACATGCCATCGTGCCCAGCTAATTTTTGTATTTTTGTAAAGATGGGGTTTCACTATGTTGGCCAGGCTGGTCTGGTCTCGAACTCCTGACCTCAAGTGATCCACCCTCTGGCCTCCCAAAGTGCTGGGATTACAGGCATGAGCCACCACACCTGGCCTGAGTTCTTTTTCTTTTTTTTCTTTTTTTTTTTTTTTTTTTTTTAGACAGAGTCTAGCTCTAGCTCTGTTGCCCAGGCTGGAGTGCAATGGCTCAATCTCAGCTCACTGCAAGCTCCATCTCCCAGATTCACCCCATTCTCCTGCCTCAGCCTCCCGAGTAGCTGGGATTACAGGCGCCCATCACCATTCCTGGCTAATTTTTTTGTATTTTTAGTAGAGATGGGATTTCACCGTGTTAACCAGGATGGTCTTGATCTCCTGACCTTGTGATCCACCCGCCTTGGCCTCCAAAAGTGCTGGGATTACAGGCGTGAGCCACTGTACCTGGCCCATTTTCAGGTATTTTGAAGTAGCTATTTTGATGTGGCCATTTTAGTATCAGAACTTTTTTTCTTTTGGAGACAGTCTTGCTCTCTTGCCCAGGCTGGAGTGTAGTGGTATAATCTTGGCTCACTGCAACCTCCTCCTCCTGGGTTCAAGCAATTCTCCTGCCTCAGCCTCTTGAGTAGCTGAGATTACAGGCGCCTGCCACAACGCATGGCTAATTTTTGTATTTTTAGTAGAGAGGGGGTTTTACCGCCAGGCTGGTCTGGAACTTCTGACCTCAGGTGATCCACCCACCTTGGCCTCCCAAAGTGCTGGGATTACAGGCATGAGCCACTGCGCCCGGCCTATCAGAACATTTTTATGCCACCAAAAGAATTAAATTCTCAGCTTGCTTTCATTATTAAGAAATATACAAATCCCAGCGCTTTGGGAGGCCAAGGAGGGCAGGTCACCTGAAGTCAGGAGTCCAAGACCAACCTGGCCAACATGATGAAACCCTGTCTCTATAAAAATACAAAAATTAGCTGGGCATGATGGCAGGTGCCTGTAATCCCAGCTACTTTGGAGGTTGAAGTGGGAGAATCACTTAAACCTGGGGGACGGAGGTTGTAGTGAGCTGAGATCGCACCACTGCACTCCAGCCTGGATGACAGAGCAAGATCTCAAAAAATATATATATATATATAATATATATATATATACACACACACACACACACACATATATATATACACACACACATACATATATATACACACAAAACATGTTCTCTCTTATTTGGGATAGCTAAAAATTAAAATAATTGAACCCTTGGAGATAGAGAGTAGAAGGATGCTTACCAGAGGCTGGGAAGGGTAGAGATGGTATAGGGAAGAAGTAGTGATGGTTAATGGATACCAAAAAATAGAACAAATAGGCTACTCTGGTTGCACTGCCTGTGAGTTAGCCCTGCTCTGCAAGGAGCAGCCATAAAGAATCTTTTGTTAGTAAAAAAAATTAATAATAATAATTTAATTGTACATTTTAAAATAACTAAAAGAGTATAATTGTATTGTTTGTAACGCAAAGGATAAATGCTTGAGGGGATGGATACCTGATTTACCCTGATGTGATAATTATGTACTGCATGCCTGTATCAAAATGTCTCATGTAACCCTGAATATATACACTACTACGTACCCACAAAAATTTAAAAACAAAATTAATACAAAAAAAAAAGAAATACAAAACAGACATTCATATCCTGGGGAGATAATAGGCAATGATGAAGAAAGGGTCAAGAGTGTCTGGGAAAATCCTTTGATAATATAAAATAATATATAGGTATAAATGGTGTTGATCAGGGCTCAAAAAACTTAGCTTGACACTTCACTAATGTAAATATAATCTGATGAAATTAAATTCTGACTGAATATAGATGTGAGGCACCATGCCCAGCCTACAAATAGTCTTTACAAATAGTCTTTACAATCCAGTGGATGCCTTCTATTGCTCTTAGCAGCTAGCCTTGTTCTTTTGTTTATATTTTCTCAACTGAAATCATTTCACCAATGATAGCTGCAACAACCTTTGAAATCTGGCCATAAGGGTTTACATAAGCCCTTCCACATAACCATTTTAATTTCTCAAATGCTCTTTCTTCTGGATCAATACCAAAATAGAATTTTCAAGAGAAAACACACATACCACGCATATATACTAGAAAAACACACTTATGTATTTTTATATTATTTACCTCATTTATATTTCTATATTTTGTTGTTTTGTTTTGTTTTTTGGGTTTTTTTTTTTTTTTTTTTTTTTTTGAGACGAAATCTCGCTCTGTCACCCAGGCTGGAGTGCAGTGGCACAATCTCGGCTCACTGCAACGTCCACCTCCTGGGTTCAAGCGATTCTCCTGCCTCAGCCTCTTGAGTAGCTGGGATTACAGGCGTGCACCACCATGCCCAGCTAATTTTTGTATTTTTAGTAGAGATAGGGTTTCACCATGTGTTTCAGGCTGGTCTCCAATTCCTGACCTCAAATGCCTGCCTCGGCCTCCCAAATGCTGGGATTAGAGGCGTGAGCCACCTCAGTTGGCCAATATTTCTATATTAAGTGCCCTCATAGACACCTGAGCAGGTCAAGAAGCGAACCTTAAATCGCCTTACTTGTAGACAAGTATAAATGATTTTAAAATAATGATGATAGTAATAGCAGTTTACTGTGTGTATTAGATACAGTGTTAACTCCTTTACATGCATTATTTCATTTGTTGCCACAATGACTCACAAGGAACTTGTATTAGTATCTCTATTTTACAGAGGAAGAATTGAAGTTTTAAGAGGTTAGGTAACTTGGTCAAGGTCCAACAGATAGTGAGTGGCAGAGCCAAAACTCAAGGTCCAAGAAAACCACTCTTCACCCTTAGGCCTACTGCCACCTAATGGAGAGCGATTGAACAATAGCACAGAAAATAAATAGAAATAAAGAAATAGAAAATGTGGCCAGCCTAATAGTGTAATCAGTTTTCCACAATTCTTCATAGTAGTCCCTGATTTTGCCACATTCATTTAACTTTTATTTTTTGAAACAGAGTTTTGCTCTTGTTGCCCAGGCCAGAGTGCAATGGCGCTATCTCAGCTCACCACAACTTCTGCCTCTCGGGTTCAAGTGATTCTCCTGCCTCAGCCTCCCAAGTAGCTGGGATTATAGGTGCCTGCCACCACGCCCAGCTAATTTTGTACTTTTAGTAGAGACAGGATTTCTCCATGTTGGTCATGCTGGTCTCGAACTCCCGACCTCAGGTGATCCACCCGCCTCAGCCTCCCAAAGTGCTGGGATTACAGGCGTGAGCCACCACACCCAGCCTAATTTAACTTTTTTTGCTTACCTTTTGAAGTAGTGTTTTTAAAAAAAATGCTACTTAGCCAAATGCCTCTTGAGCTATAGTCAATAGAACAAAGTCAAGAGACTAAATTGCAAAAGAAAATTTCCACCTGATACACTTGAAGATATATCTATTTTGGACATAAGTGCGTAAAATAAAAAGAATTTTTTCCCCTGTTGACACATGGATTACAAAATCACTTTTATCCAGATCTAGCAGAAAAATACATACTCCTTTAATTGTCATTGCATACAAGACCAGGAATGGTGACTCATGCCTGTTATCCCAGCACTTTGGGAGGCTGAGGTGGGCAGATCACTTGAGATCAGGAGTTCGAGACTAGCCTAGCCAACACGATGAAATCCAATCTCTACTAAAAATACAAAAATTAGCCAGGTGTGGCGTGGTGGCATGCATCTTCAGTTCCTGCAATTCCGGAGACTGAGGCAGGAGAACTGCTTGAACCCGGGAGGTGGAGGTTGCAGTGAGCCAAGATTTTGGCCACTATACTGCACCCTGGGCAACAGAGCAGGAATCTGTCTTTAAAAAAAAAAAAAAAAAAAAGCCATTGTGTATAAACTTACCCTCATACCTCTTAATTAATTTACTTTTCTTATTTTATTTTTTGAAGGTGAAGGCAGAAATTGGAGATGTTAGTATTTTAGTAAATAATGCTGGTGTAGTCTATACATCAGATTTATTTGCTACACAAGATGCTCAGATTGAAAAGACTTTTGAAGTTAATATACTTGCACATTTCTGGGTGAGTATGGTTTCTTTTACAAAAATATTCCTTTTGAAAATCCCAGAGATTGAAGTGGGGCTTTCAGCAGACATAAGGAAGTATTAAATCAATGCTAAAGTTTTCTCCAGGCACCAGGAATAACATTATACAAAGAGATCATTTTTCATGCTATCACCAAATTCTATCATTCTTCCTCACTTACAATATTAATAATAATAATAAATTAATAAGAAATGTCAGGTATTGTATAGGTTTTAATTCTAAGCTAGGTTCTCACATTTCTGTGTGATCCTATTTAGAGATAAAGAAAGGAGTTGAGGACCCTCTGAGTCATCGTCTGTGATTTTATAAAGGTGAATCCAGTTTGCTTTTAGATTGTCCTTTTTCTTTTTTAGACAGGGTCTCACTCTGTTGCCAAGGCTGGAGTACAGTGATGCGATCTCATCTCACTGCAGCCCCAACTTCCCAGGCTCAAGTGATCCTCCCACCTCAGCACCCCCAAGTAGCTAGGACTATAGGCATTAACACGCCCAGCTAATTTTTGTATTTTTAGTAGAGATGGGGTTTTACAATGTTGCCCAGGCTGGTGTTGAACTCCTGGACTCAAGTGATCCACCTGCCTCGGCCTCCCAAAGTGCTTGGATTACAGCATGAGCCACTCCCCCTGGCTTTCAGATTTGCATTAGGCTCAGGCCTCATGTTATTTTCTGGCCCTAAAATTGCAAATCTTATTGTGAACCTCACCATTGAAGGTCTTAAGTTATATATATGTACATATGCTGTGTGTGTTTCTGAAGTCTTCAAATATTGCCCAAATAGCCAGTTCTTAAAAAGGCCCCTCAAAGATTTCTTGGATGAGAGTTTGGGATGACTGATCTCAAAAGAATATTGGGGTTGATAAAAATGCAGTATTATTGTATGTTAATATTCCCAAGTTTTTGACATATATCTTTATGTTTTTGTGTTTGTTCAAATATAGGTTACTGTCTCTTTTTTTGTTGTTGTTGTTTTGAGACAGGGTCTCTCTGTGTTGCCCAGCCTGGAGTGCGGTGACATGATTTTGGCTCACTGCAGCCTCAGCTTCCTGGGCTCAAATGATCTTCCCACCTTAGCCTCCCTAGTAGCTGGGACTACAGGTGTACACCACCATGCCCGGCAAGTTTTTGTGTTGTGCAGGCTGATCTTGAGCTCCTGGGCTCAAGCAATCCTTCTGCCTCAGCCTCCCAAAGTGCTGGGATTACAGGTGTGAGCCACTGCACTTGGCTGGGTATTATCTTGTTTGTTTCTTCATCCCAAGCATCAATAACAAGAGGTAGAGGGCTAGGGAACATAAAAATTTAGAAATTTTTTTTTTTTTTTTTTTTTAGACAGAGTCTCACTCTGTCGCCCAGGCCGGAGTGCAGTGGCGTGATCTCGGCTCATTGCAACCTCCGCCTCCCAGGTTCAAGTGATTCTCCTGCATCAGCCTCCCCAGCAGCTGGGATTACAGGCACCTGCCACTATGCCCAGCTAATTTTTGCATTTTTAGTAGAGATGGGGTTTCACCATGTTGGCCAGGCTGGTCTTGAACTCCTGACCTCAAGTGATCTGCCCGACTTGGCTTCCCAAAGTGCTGGAATTATAGGCATGAGCCACCACACCTGGCTGAATTTAGCAATTTAAGTGAGATGGATTCTCAAAGCTTTCAGTAGCCATTGTTTTGCTCAGGTTTTCTAATGTGGGCATCATATCCAGTCCCCTTATTGTTGCTGCATTTGTCATTTAGTTTATGTTTTTTTCATTTATGCTAGGATTCATGTTAAAAAATATACTTCTGTTTCAAAGTATTCCCAAGGGGTCTGTGAGTCTGAAATACAGTATTTTTTTTTTCTCTTTTAATAAAAACTATTTGTAGACTACAAAGGCATTTCTTCCTGCAATGATGAAGAATAACCATGGCCATGTTGTCACTGTGGCTTCGGCAGCTGGACATATTTCGGTCCCCTTCTTACTGGCTTACTGGTATGTGAACATGTGTTTCCTTCATTGGTTCTTATGCTTACCTTGTGTGTGAGATTTCTTACCCTGTCTAATGAGAACTCTTTGTATAATCATAGTAGACTTGAAATTGTCCAGTCTATTATTGGGAGTTGTCAAAAAACAAGCAGAAAGAGTTGCACAACGTCTCTTGTCTAACAACATTATCAACCATTAATCCCCTTCTAGAAGACCCTGCTGGAGGTGGCAGCCAGAAATTTATTCAGTTATGAGCCAACCACTTTGAAAACATTTCTCGTCTCTTTTAACAGCAAGAAATTACAAAACAAGAACAATAATTAGTATTATTAACAATTGTAACAAAATTTAATAATTTTTAATATTAATAAAAATGGATAAATTTTTGCAGAAATGAAATCAGAGTGAGAGAAAGAGAATATTAGGCATAGTTGGGTGAATTTTTTTTTTTTTTTTTTTTTTTTTGAGACGGACTCTCTGTCTTCCAGGCTGGAGTGCAGTGGTGCAATCTCGGCTCACTGCAAGCTCCGCCTCCCCGGTTCACGCCATTCTCCTGCCTCAGCCTCCCGAGTAGCTGGGACTACAGACGCCCGCCAACATGCTCGGCTACTTTTTTTGTATTTTTATAGAAACCGCGTTTCACTGTGTTAGCCAGGATGGTCTGGATCTCCTGACCTCGTGATCCACCCACCTTGGCCTCCCAAAGTGCTGGGATTACAGGCGTGAGCCACCGCGCCTGGCCCAGTGATTTGTTTCTATACAACTTGCATTTGCAAGGATATATAACAAACTGTTTTACTCTAATCACATCTAAAAAGTGGTTATTCTTAGGTAATGACAAGACAAGTAATTAAGTGATCTTTATTTTGTTCTTTTTGCTCATCTATATTTTCTTTCTTCCTTCCTTTCTTCTTTCTCTTTCTTTTTTTTTTCTGAACATATATTTTCAAATATTAGTTTTCTAATAGTGGGATTTTAAACATTGAAAGAATCCAAACAAGGGAATTGGTTTTTAAAAAAATTTTCATGATTATCCGTTTAAAAAACATGCTCTTGTAATAACTGAAAACTTGAAATAGCAGTTCACAGTGACCCTATACTTCACTGGGGAGATCAGTGAGGCCACTGTATCTAGGATGATTCTACTGGTTACACACACCTTACTAATTCTTGGCTGTATTTTATGTTTTATTGAACACTTATTGTATGTTTAAGCAAATAATAACTTTTAAAATGTTGAATGTGTAAATATATATGCATAAATAATGTAATGCTCAAATTTGTTTTCTCCTTTGGAATTAAATATCTAAATTCTAAAAACATGGATATAGTTGTATATGTAGCTATAGATATGTATACAAATATGTAGACACAGGCATAGGTGGGTAATTTGTTTTTATTCAACTTGCATTTGCAAGGATATATAACAAACTGTTTAATCACACCTAAAAAGTGGTTATTCTTAGGTAATGGCAAAACAAGTAATTAAGTGATTTTTATTCTTTTCCTTTTGCTTATCTATATTTCTTTCCTTCCTTCCTTTCTTTCCTTCTTTCTCTTTCTTTTCTTTCTGAACATGTATTTTCATACATTAGTTTTCTAATAGTTTTTAAAATAAATATAGACTTGGGATCGGGCATGGTGACTCATGCCCATAATCCCAGCATTTTGGGGGGCCAAGAAGGGTAGATCACCTGGGGTCAGGAGTTTGAGAGCAGCCTGGCCAACGTGGTGAAACCCCCATCTACCCCCATCTCTACCAAAAAATACAAAAATTAGCTGGGTGTTTTGACATACACCTGTAGTCCCAGCTACTCGGGAGGCTGAGGCAGGAGAACTGCTTGAACCTGGGAGGCAGAGATTGCAGTGAGCTGAGATCGTGCCATTGCACTCCTGCCTGGGTGATAGAGTGAGACTCGGTCTCAAAAATAAATAAACAAATAATAAATATAGATTTGGACTGAATTTTCAGAAAAAAAAAAAGATGAAATAACTGGTGAAGCAGTCACAGAACAGACCTATGGTGTCAAGATTGTCTATTGTCTCTTTTAGAGCCAGTTTAAGTTAGGTGATTACCACCGGCTATCAAGGGCTAATAAAATACGACATTTATTTCAATTCCTTGATGAAAGATAGTTACAGGTGCTGTCACCCTCCCTCAATCCCAGCCCCTGCAACTACTACACAACACCCTCCCAGCTCACCCCCAGCCGCTTATCTTAGTTACCAGGCACTGAGATAGGCAAAGAGGATCAGAGAACCCTGCAGGGCAGTGAGCTCTGTCATGCTTCTTCTTCTGTTTGCATAATAAACACTATAACTCTTTGGGTTCAGCCTTCATTCTGTTTAACTGTGCGTTTCACATTGAAAACCAAGGGAAAAATGTGCTTTTTGTGAGAAAGAAATTTATCTTTGTGATTAGTGGTGATGTTTTCGGCAGAAATAAAGGTTTTCATAAGGTACTGTCAAAGCAGGGATGCCACACACAGTTGTGCAGATTGTGCACTACACGATTCTACCATGCCGTATTCATGTTGGGGTCCTTCAGACTTGAAGGATTTTTCCAACGGATGGAAGTAAAATTGCTTGAGGAGCGAAGTGGCTTTTTTTTTTTTTAAACAGTTTCATGCTGTTGCCAGGCTTGAGTGCAGTGGCGCGATCTTGGCTCACTGCAACCTCCGCCTCCCAGGTTCAAGCAATTCTCCTGCCTCAGCCTCCCGAGTAGCTGGGACTACAGGCGCCCGCCACCATGCCTGGCTAATTTTTCTTTCTTTTTTTTTTTTTTTTTTTTTTTTTGTATTTTTAGTAGAGACAGGGTTTCACTGTGTTAGCCAGGATGGTCTGGATCTCCTGACCTCGTTATCCACCCACCTTGGCCTCCCAAAGTGCTGGGATTACAGGCGTGAGCCACCTTGCCCAGCCGAGAAGTGGCTTTTAAGAAACCACACAAGGGTGCCATTTGGGCTAACATGCAGGGTGGCAACCACAAAAGCGGTTTGTACACTTCCAGCTTTGTGACAGAGCTGTGCTTTGGTAGCCCTTAGAGAATTCCTCTTCAGAATCCTCAGCTATCACTGACCTGAATTATTGCAATCTGTGATCCTTACTGACCACAGTTATCTTCAACTCTGTCAGCTCTGGTTTTTGCTCAGCATCTAATCAATGATAGGACTTTTACAGAGATGTGCTAAAGATTACTGCCAGCAGAAAGCAATGTTTATCAGATACTGTTACTAACAATTGGGCAATTAAACTGAGACACTGCTTTTTAAAACATTTAAACATTTTTGATTGACACATGACGTACATTTATAAGAATGAAGAAATTGGCCAGGCACGGTGTCTCACGCCTATAATCCCAGCACTTTGGGAGGCCGAGGCGGGCGGATCACGAGGTCAGGAGATCCAGACCATCCTGGCTAACATGATGAAACCCCATCTCTACTAAAAACACAAAAAATTAGCCAGGCATGGTGGCAGACACCTGTAGTCCCAGCTACTTGGGAGGCTGAGGCAGGAGAATGGCAGGAACCCCAGAGGCGGAGCTGGGAGTGAGCCGAGATCGCGCCACTGCACTCCAGCCTGGGCGACAGAGTGAGACTCCGTCTCAAAAAAAAAAAAAAAAAAAAAAAAAAGAGTGAAGAAATCATAAGTCTGCAGCTCAATGAGTTACTACAAAGTGGATACATCCATTTAACTACCATGCAGGTCAAAAAATTAGAACATTACAGGACCCCAGAACCCCCTCTTGAAACCCTTCCCAACCACCAATCTCTCCTTCCTTCCCAAAGGTAACCACCATGTTAACTTATAACACCTTAGATTAATTTTGCCTATTTTTGATCTTTATGTCCATGGAATCACAATATATTTGTGAGATTTAGCCATGTTGTGGTTAGTAGCTATAGTGTGATCATTTTCATGGCTGCATAGTGTTGTATCATGTGACCAATTTATTTGTCCATTCTATTATTTATGAACATTTGGGTTGTTTCCAGTAAAAATATTATTTCTGAATGGCATTATGAATGTTGACTCAATCACTCACCAGCTGTGTGACCTTAGACAAGTTACTCTACTCTGTGCTTCATTTGCCTCATCTGTAAAATAGGTTAATAATAATATCTAGGCCAGGTGCGGTGGCTCACGCCTGTAATGCCAGCACTTTGGGAGACTGAGGCGAGCGGATCACGCGGTCAAGCGATTGAGACCATCCTGGCCAACATAGTGAAACCTCGTCTCTACTAAAAAATACAAAAAAAGATTAGCCAGGCATGGTGGTGCATGCCTGTAGTCCCAGCTACTCGGGAGGCTGAGGCAGGGGAATCGCTAGAACCCAGGAGGCAGAGGTTACAGTAGGCTGAGATCGCACCACTGCACTCCAGCCTGGCGACAGAGCGAGACTTTGTCTCACAAAAATAAATAAATAAATAAATAATATCTAACTTATTAGAATGATGTAAGGTTTAAATCATACACTGTATTGGACTTAGCATAAAATCTGAAATCTTGCAAGTGTTCAATAATAGGAGGTTGCCTGTTGGTATTACGTTTCAATTCCACTTCCTGATATTCACACAAAACAGGGAGGTCCCACCTCTAATTTTAGCTTCCAGATTGCTTTGCCCCAATGGAATTCATCATATATGCTCTGACGCCTAATTGTTGGGATGAAATGAGAGGGAAAATAAGATTATTGATTATTTTCCCCGTAATTCAGCCCTCACATATCATTGTCCTGAGTTACTACAGCCACAGAAAATAATCTATTCTAGCTGTAGTCGCCTATCTTAGGAAAAAATATTTTAATTTCTTTTTAGAGTTATAGTTCAGTAGTTTTAATGATTATTATGAAGAATGCAAGATAAAAGAACTGCACGTATGGTGGGGGAGGGTGAATCTTTTGATTCTATTCTAAGATTTTTTTTTGCTGCTTGCTAAGTAATTTGTTCACAAGTATTTTGATTTTTAAAAGAAAACAGTTAGCTGGCTAATATATTCTGTCA